GATTTGTAACTTACAGTCTACAAGTCTAGACGACGACATGTACTATATAATCTCCTAACTGCAATTCCAACTGCTTTCCTAGATTTTGTGCTCCTACACCACTCTCAGCTGCAATTTCCAAAACTCTCTTGGATTCTGTTCTCCTGCAACAACTCCTAACTTTGTGAAATCGTTTATTTCCCGTGGATCCACGAAGAACACCGCGTTCTTCAAATACTGGAACTCAGTTAAACTTATTCAATCTTCAAAACTCTGATCATATATAGAGGAACAGTAGTTTGATATTTGGATTATTGAAATAATGTTTTTCTCACTAAAACTCTCACAGATGAAGGTTGAAAGAATCAAATATGAAGGAAACACACTGTAGCCTTTTTCTCTCAATATTCAACTTTATGAAACACGTTCAATTATGTTTTGGTATTTATAGGTAGGGTATAAAATAGATGAGCTTTTAAAATGCGAAATAAAAATTTTCCAAATAAAGCTGTCGCTCGAGCGAAGGCAGAGCGACAATCAAGCGATGGAGTTTTTGCTTTTGTAGCTTGAGCCAAACCTTGGCAACTGTCTAGTGAAAATTCGGGTCGTTTTCCTCCTTTTGCCATTCTCGAACTCTAGACCTAAAAACCCTATTTTTTTCAACGTATTTGCACATTACTCCTTGAACTTTTACAATATGTCAATTTCAGTACTTTTGTTCATAGAATTGCCAATTACGAATAATATAAAACCTAACAAACTCCCTCTTTGGCATTCTGTAACAAAACTACAATTTAAGTCAATGTAGTAATCAAAATGAAAATTACAAACTCAAAAATGACTTAAACTTAATCCGTCTTGAACAAAAACCTCATTTCAATTTCAGTACCCGTTTCCTGAAATAGACAAATCAAATACCCAGTGTAAAATGTGTGGTAAAAATGATCAATAATAAATATAGTTCAACAGTTTTGAGTGTAAGAATCTTTTAAACATTTATAACTCATTGCTAAACTCAGACACAGTATCAATGGAACCCAACATACAAAAACGAGACATTGACATTACAAAAAATCAAAAACTGAATTTAGCGAACTGAAATTAAATAATATGCCTTTGAGTCCAAAAATCATTTATATATATATCAAAAACGTAGTTACATCCATCCAGATTTTCGATAAATAGATACCTCAGATAAGCATCAACAGAATCTAATTCTCCCCCTAGCAAAAATAAATATGAATTATATTACTGCCCACTAAATAAATTCATGCTAAATTACGCAAACAAAATCAAGTGTATTATAGATCATGCTGTAAAACAATTTCTTGAATAAAAATGTTGTGTTCTCCCGCCCTTTTTTTAAAATAATAACATGAATGCACCAAATACACAAAATAAAAGAAAATGCATACAACCCAAACACACAAAACAGAAAGTAGAAATGCGTGAGAATAAATAAATAAACATGATGCATGCATGACTCAAAATCTCATAAGAGTAGAATACTAGCATGCATCAAATATACCAATCAATAAGGCATACAAATATCAATAGTTGTTCTAAGAGATTCGAACCGAAGCCTATCCAATGGTTTTGTAGCGACCACGAACTTTTAAAT